AGAACTAAGGAAAATAATTCCACAAAGGAAAGAGCGGTGATCTAGGCACAAGAATTAGAGGAAAAAGTAAAGGGAAGATCTATTTGGAAGGTTGGCTTTGAGGTTCAAACTCCAGGAGCAGTCCGAGTTTATATCTAACGTCTCCACTCTCCTCTCTCTAGCGCCAACGACTTTGATCTTTTTGCTGTTGGGTTGAGTGGGTCACCCGCACACTCACCCACAACCCACCCACCACCCCGCGGATGGCTCCCAGCGCAACCCGTCACCCACCCACAAACCCACCCACTTAACGAAATTCGGGTCATGCCCAGCCCTACTCCCTGCAGCCCACTATTATTGGCCTTTTGATTTTTTTTATCTTATTCTATTAATTTTGTCCTTTCTTTTTAAATCAAATACCGGTTTATGAACGGTTTTTAATACCGGTTAATCAACGGTTATCCGATAAACCTTAAACCTCTCATTAATCCGGATCGATGTCCGGTTCGGTTTTGACAACACTGATTAAAAGTATAGTAGCTCAAAACAACAATTACTGTACATCCAGACTGCTTTTCCTATTCATTATGACTCAAAATTACTATTCATCGAGTTCTTATTGGTTGTTGCTTTGATGTGGGTCCAGGTTTCCTTTCCTCTCCCTTTGAACTCTTGCCGAGACTGTGGGTTGGGTCTAACACGAAACCCTCTGCGAGGAAAATCGCGTTGGTCACAAATCGACGACATAGACCCGGTAAGGCCAACAAGCACTTTGGGATGTATCTGTCAGTTTTCTTTCGGTTTCGTTTGGTTACTTTAGATTGGGGCTCAGTTATCTATGCGCTGGAAGTTGGAACCCAACCATATTTCCCCTCTCTTTTCCCTTTTGATGGAGGTTTGTTCATTGTTGCCCTTTGCATTGGTCCTTTTGTGCAGCTGACCCTTTTTGATTGCTTTACATAGGTGGCAGAGAGTTACTGTTGGATGTTGTCAGGCATGCCATTTTGTCACCGTCAAATGGTCTCAATGGGAGAAGGGTGACTCCCCCTTTTGATTGACGCAGGCGTTCCTTGCAGAGAGATGATAGAGTGTGTCAGTGGGTGGAGGTATCAGGGAAGGCAAAAAAATCACAACAACTCTTTTTCTCCACCACATATTCTAGCTACCCCTCATTCCTCTAACTTTTTCTTTTGCCAATCCCGTTTCTTTTCGCTCTTGCTGGTATCGCTCGCCCATCTCACTTTAAGATTCTTCCCTGCGATCAACGGGATCAGAGAGGAAATCGTCAAGTTCGGTCAGATCTCTCCGTCGTTAACTACGTCTATGGTGAGAAACTGAAAAGCGGATTCAATTGGAAGGTTGTACGCATATAAAAAAGGTATTCCAAGAGGTTGCATCTCCATTGCTATTGCTACGATCACCGACGGTAGATGAGGTAAGCACGGTGGGAATTTTGTTTCTCGGGTGAATATTCCCCCTCTTCAGATGGATTTGTTTTTCTATTCTCAAGTGGATTTGCTCTCTCTTTCTTCTCAAAGTGTTCGTTTGATCCCTTTTAGCTTTACAGGTTTATTCATAGTCTTTGGCCTCTCCGAGAAAGGAATGACCCAAAGGCTTGAATCGATTGGAAAAACACGCAGGCTATGGCGATACGAAAGATCCCTGATGCTTTTGTGTAATATTAGGTATCTTCTTTCTCTTTTTCTTTGTGTTTTAGGTTTGGTATACTCATTTACTCCACCTCTTTGTGGTTCTTTTTCATGTCTAATCTCTTTCTTGGGGTCCGCCGGAGTTTGGGGCAATCATTTGGTAGGCTACATAGCTCCGGAGAAAGCTCCGACAAATCTTGGATTCGGATACTTTATTCATTTAGATTGCAGGTGATTTTTTCTTCTGTGTCTCCACTGTGTTATATCTGTCTGGATTCGTTTTCCCTCTTTCTTCCTCTAAATGAATTTGTATACACAGATGCGAGCAACTATGTCACCGTCGAAGGTCGTCAGTCGAGCTCTTAAAAACACCTTCGAGAACTATATATATTGACTGGAGTGATGCCCATAATTTGCAACAGTTGCTTCTTTACTTCGGTGGATACAGCTCTGGGTGCTGTCAAATAAGTTGCTATGGTGAGTTTTTGTTTTTACGATTTGTTCCCTCTCTAATGATTTCCTTTGTTTCTCTTCTTTTAATCTCTCGGTTTGATGTTTTATTTGCAGTCTCCTTTTCCACCTTCCAGAAGGTGGTACTGGTAATCACGATTACTGAATAGCAGGTGTCGATCGTAGATTTAAAGGTAGGGAAGATAACTGTTTTCTGATTGTTTACTTTGTCTTTGGGTAACTCCATGGTATAATGATTCTTCTCTCTTTTTTTTTTTTGTTATTATTAATTGTGGTGTTGGTCTCTTCTTAATCACTTGATTAATGCTTTGGTGTATAAAGTAAGAGAAACAATTAAATTTCTAAGGGGTTGGTGAATTACGTCCAATTTTCTCATCCCCTTGAGTCCTGGACATCACTAGACGTTTATAGTCCTTCTGCATAATGATAGATTTCTGGGCATCGCCTAGAAGTTTTGGGTAATATGTTTTTTTTCCATTTGATTAGGCTTGGTTGCTTACAGTTTCATCCATAAATCATGTACGTATGGATAGTGGTTAAACCGTTAGAGAGTACCAGATATGCTTGATAGTTACTCAATGCTCAGCATTGTTCATGAACTGAGATAGACTTCCCAATTAATTTCAGTTGTGGTTATTAAGCCACTGGTGTGGATTGATTTGGCAAGTGAATGGTGATGATCTGTTGTCACTGTCTATGGTAAATCTTCAAGCTATATCTTGCATTTCTACGTTTTCCATTTTTGGAAAGTAAGACTTAATCATATATATAACTCTGTTTCTAACTTTTGTTTCCTTCTCTCACGTTATCTGCAACTAATGTATGAAGATGGATTTTGTTTATGAGGGAGCTTTTGTTTTGTGATAATGTATTGAATCGCCTAACTAGACTGTGCCTTCATTGGTTTGAGTTTTTTTTAGTTTTTTTAATGGTTAGGGAGACTTTCTCTGTCGAGAAACTGTGCGGATTATCTCCCATTGTTATTGTAATTGCTTGCTGAGCTGGCTGTAACAATTTTGCAGGCTTCAGTTTGCTGGCTAAGCCGCATCGTTACCCTGACAACCGTGGACAAGTAAAGGTTCAATTGTAGATCGTAACTTTTTTTTTTATAGATATAGTGGTGTTGATTTAAACATGTTGATTAATTAGCAAACTGAAAACATGTAAACCTCTTCTACTGATTATGTTGCTGGGTTATTTCTTGGTGATTCCTCAACTTTCAATGTGTCCGTGAGCTGCTGTTACTTGGAGAATAAAATGAAAAAAAAATTTGTTTTTGTTTTGGAGACTCGGTATTGAAGTACTATCAATTATTTAGTTTGTTGTTATTCTTTTTGGATGAACTCAAACAAAAAAAAACTTAAATTTTATCCATATCCCGACGCGGAGCGCGGGTAAGAAAACTAGTTAAAAGTATAATAGCCCAATACGTCTGGCACTGTACATTCAGAAACATTTTTGCTGTTCATACACACTCGATTTTACTATTCACCGACTTCTGATTGGTTGCTTGGCTGTGGTGGCCCCTTTGTGTCCCCTTGGCTTCTCATTTACGCTTTTTCTTTTGCTTCTTTGTGACTCTGGAGGAAGCTGAGCGAAAAAATCGCGTTGATCACAGGTAGACTGACTAGCTCCAGTTAGACCGTAAAGCATTCTTGGGGTTGGGGATAGTTCTCCACGACTGAATTTTTACTGTTCGACCGTGACAGGAGAGAAACCCATGCCAGCTGTGAGTTTGACGATTGGAGCTCTCACTTTGGTCGCTGCGCTGATAGAGAGAGGGTCAGTGGGTGGAGGTGTCAGGAAGGAAAAGAAGTGTCGATGGGAATTTTGGGGACGTTGATTGGGCTGCTCTGATGGCCCCGCCTGAGGGATAGGATGACACCACGTCGATCATAAAAAAAAAGAAGCTTTTTTAGGTGTGGAGAAGCTTAGAGGGAATTTGTGGGATGAAGCGCCACGTATCCCACAAAATTTTGTCCACTCATTTTACCTAACTAGCACAATTTTTTATCTTCTCATTCAAGATTACTTTTTGACCAGAGCAGGATAGAAGTTCAGAAGCCCTCTTGCAAATAGGAAATCTCTCTTCCTCTGCTCACACATTTGTCTCAACACCAACAAAGTTGAGTTTTCTCTCATATACTCTCTCCTTCTCCTTGTATTCTCTCAGATCGCCACTCCGAGCGGTTACCGAAGGGTTGCCGAGCACGCCATCGGCATTGGTTTTCGCAAGTCTCGACTAATCCCAGGTACAATTTTGTTTTCTTAAGGTTCTCATTTGAAATATGTTAAGGATCTGATTGTGGGTTTCTCAAAGGGTGTTTTTGATATTGTTTTTGCAGGATTGTTCATCGTTTTTGCCTTCTCCGTAGAACAGAAAGGCCCGAGCTCTGCATCTGATTTCATGTAACCTTCATTTTTTATGTTGGCTTTGGTAAGTAATTCTTTGGATGCTTTGGGTTTCGCTTTAGTTTGGTACTTCTCAGCGACAGAGGTTTTTCTTTTGGTTCAGTGGGTTGGATCTCCCTGTTTTCTCCCCAGCTGCTCTTCTACAACTCTCTATACAAGATCTGCTGCTAGGCTGGACAACACGAAGGTCCACATGTCATCGCCATGCTCAGCCGAGGTTGTGACCTGAGATTCAATCTCTTTTTTACCATCTCTACCACTTTATATCTACCCAGTTTTCTATTGATTTATTTGACTTTTGTTTGTTGATTTTGAAGGCAACAAACTTTATAGTGCGGACGATGATAGAATTAAGCAGCAGGTTATGGAGCTCAATGTTCTATATTTCTTGAGTTATAGAGAGGAACTCTTTTTCTGGTTAGTTTCTCTCCTTTGTGATGTTAAGTTATACCTTCTTTTGCTATCACTGATTTTCCTGCTTTATCTCTTTCTTTTTCTCTCGAGATCGGATGGGATGGTTCGCTGGTTTGTCCAGTTTCTCCCACCTGCAACTGACAGAAAGTGGAACTCCAGGTTGCTCGATGGTTTTGTAATGAACATACATGTTTTTGGAGAAGAAGCGATCCACGGATTGGCATTTTGGTCTTAGGTAAATGTCTTATCTGTTGAATTTTTTCTCTCGATGGTCTTTCACGGGGTTCGTGCTCTCCCTTCTTTGATATTATTGATTCATTTAATTTCTTTCACGCTAACAGTAGAGGATTGCGCAGTCCCCGGAGGGAGCATCAAATGTCATTACGAAGCTTAAATACTGGCCTTCCCTTCGTTATAACTCTCCTTTCCCTATTTTTTCGATCCATCTCCCATGCATCTCTCTTCCAGTGGTCTTTTGATTGGTTGTAAGATCCAACTCACATTGTAGTTCCGTGAGAAGTTTGAAGATGGATTTTTGTTGAGGGAACTTTCTTCTGTAATCATGGTAGATCAGCTGTACCCCTTAAATACCTGTAATTAGATATGTTATAATATGCCAATTCACAGTTATCCAATATTTGCTACAATGCCATGTTTCTTTTAGATTTTGGTGTGTTCACACAGAATTTGATGGCCCAATGTTGTAATATAACAAAAATTCATGTTGATGCATTAGAATTATGATAGTTATATGTTAATGAACATCAGTTCAATTCTACATTTTGGCTTATCTGTAACAAACTTCTTACTTTGCCTTAACGAAATGATTGTACGTTCCTTAAAGTAAAAAATGACTTGCTATTTGTTTACTATTACTGCCTTCCATTTCCTTGGATTTTGATTAACAAATTAACTCTACATATGTACAATATAGATCACAGTAATAATTAAGCACAATTTTAACTTTTTTTTTTTTTATAAATGTGCCCCAAATCCCGGTGCAGAGCGCGGGTATGAAAACTAGTAATAATATAATAATGGCATTTCATTTTGAGATTTGCGTCCAGAAGATTTTCATTTGGAAACCAAAAGAAACGGTGGCTGGCACCCGAACCAAAACAGAACCAGCGGCCCTAACAATATCTTGTTAATTATTTTTGGTGTCGCAGCTTCTGTATAGTTCTATTAACACTAGATTCAAAGTCTTATTAGGCTGACTCCAATGGGCACCCCATTTATGGGGGAGTCTGCAAAAATGAAGGAGGAGATGGTCCAATGGGGAGGTTTGGGGCGCCAAATATGGAGGATCCTGCAAATGAAATTCCAAATTTGGGGATGGAAATGGGGGATCCCCCAAATATGGAGACTCCTCAAAGCCCGCCACGTGGCTTTTCTTTTTCTTTTTTCTTTTTTCTTTTTTCTTTTTAAGATTTTAGAGGTTAATTAGGTGTTTAATTTGGCGATTAGTTAGGGATTTAATTAGATCAATCATTTTTAAGTGTTGTGTGTAAACCCAAATCAGGTGAATAACTTTTTGCCAATGTTCAAGAAGACGCTAGGCGCTATCTAGGCGAGGAGGCACCCCCCAGCGCCCAGGCTGATTAATCGTTGCCTAGGTGAGATTAAACGTTGAAAAAATAAAATGATAGATAAGCCATATTCCACAAAAACCCAAGTCGCCATATCATTATTCATCCATTCATATTCACATACAACCCATTTCCACAATCCCAAACATCCCAAGTCGCCAAACATGAGGAGGGATCTCACTGCTGGTCGATGAGGGAGAGCGGCTGGTTGAATAGAAATGAGAAATAGAATAGGGTTTAGGATTTTCACAAAAAGGCTACACTTTCCCCCTTTATTAGTTGTTCTGGGCGTCGCCCACCAGAGTGAAAACGCGCCTCCGAGTGCCTAGGTGCCTAGATCAATCGCCCAGGGCTAGGCGGGACGATTTTCTCCTGCCCAACTATTAATCGCGCCTAGGCGAGAGATTAATCGCATCTTCTTGAACACTGCTTTTTGCCAAAAAAAATTCGGACTCGGAATTTAACAAAATTTTATCGAAATTTTTTTATTTAAAAATGATGACGAACAATATAAAAATTAACATGAACAAATTATATTAAGGCTACGATAAGTACATTTTTAAGTAAATAGAAAAACTAGAAAAATGAAAATCCCCAAATATAGAGATTGAAGCATTGGAGATAAAAAAGGAAAAATGGGGATCAATCCCCAAATTTGTGGATGAAGGCCCCAAATTTGGGGTTTTGCATTGGACTTGGCCTTATAAGCCACTAGGCAACAAAATAAACAAACTAAGCGTTTCGATAAGGTTGTTGGTCTTTTATTTCACACCAATGTTAATCCAATAATCCAACAGATTATCAAGTTCAATTCTCAAACACACAAAATTAACTAGTTCAACAAATGCATCTCCATAGTCAGCTTTATTTTTTATTCTTTAAAATATAAAAGGTGGGTACACTTTATTACCCAATAATGCAATGTTACTGTACATTATTTTGTCTCTTCTTCACCTCTTCTACATACATCTTCCATTTGTTTCCGGTTCACAAATGGTTCATCTTTGTGCTGGGATGGGAAAGAAACTCGGCTTTGCCCCCCCCCCCCCCCCTCTTTTTCCCTCGCCTCCTTCATACTAGGGATGACAATGGTTCGGGTTAGTGCGGGTTTTGTCAAACCCAAACCCATAGGTTTATCCGCCAAAAAAATCCGGGGTAAAACCCGTTGGGTTTGAAAAACTCAAACCCAACCCAACCCAACCCGCTGGGTATCCGCGGGTTCATGGGTACCCGTGGGTTTTTGTGGTAAAAAATTTACAATAACAAGTTTCTTTCAAAATAAAACTTTAACATCAATTTTTAATACAAATTAATCATATAAAAAATACCAATCTAGAGCATACAAGCAAACCACAAATGATCAATACAAATTGTTCAAAATTAAAGATAAATATCTATAAACAATAAGATTAATTGAAAACTTCTTCCTCGTCAACTAAGTTTCTTCACTCTCCACTTCATAATATCAGCTTCATTCTAAACAATTAGAAAGAACAAATTATACATGTCTCCACAAACATAAAGAATATTAGTTGTTTAAGGAAGATATATTATTTAGAATATTAAATATACCGGAAAAGTAATTATATGTGTGTGGACGGGTACCCATGGGGCGAGTTTACCGAAACCCAAACCCAACCCGACCCGGTGAATAGTGTAGCGGGTTTAAACCCGAACCCGGTCCAAAACCCGTCAACATGGGTTTTACCCTTGTTGACCGAGTTGGGTCGGGTGAGTACCCGTGGGTTCGGGTTTTGTTTCCATCCCTACTTCGTACATACAGTTCCAGTTCTTAATGTCCTTTTCCCCAATTTCCTGGATGGACAAGTCCTTTCCGTCAGTCCCCCTCTGCCGGTTGCTTCTCAAACTCGCTAGCTCCTTCCAAATGCCAAAGCCCATGCTCCCTAACCATCCTCCGGCCTCGGAATCCGTGCGGGCTTTGCTTTACAGTTTTCGTCGAAGCATGGTTGTCACGCCGACCGGCATGCCACCGATTGTACCGGGTTCAACCGGTACCGGTCATAAAACCGGCATGACACCACCGGTATGACTGGCCTGATCGATATACGAATCTCTAAGTAAAATGACCTTATTTTAGAGAATTTAATTGATAAAAATTAGTTTATTATTTATTTTATGAGTATAAAAGTTAAATATTGATGTTTTTTGTTGGATTCAAGTATAAATGTTTAGGTATTGACGTTAAATGTCATGTTTAAATATGAGAATTTATAATTTTATTTGTAATATTGACCGGCATGAACCGACACAAACCGATATGTGCCATCGGTTGAACCATTCCACTTGCTAAACCGGCACACTGGCATAAACTGGTTTGACAACCTTGGGCCGAAGCGAACATTGGCCCCAATTACCAAATTTCCTCTCCATTCAGCTCTCACCTCCTCTGTCCTCCGCCTTCAGAACCTCGCACAACTCAATTCTTTGGCCTATTTCGTTTACGCTTCCAGTTCTCTCCCTCCTCCGTCAAGTCTCGGCTAGAATAGAAAGGGACAAAGAGCGCTATCAGTAAAGTGGACGGGTGAATTTTCTCTACTATTAGTTCCTTCCGCAACGGTTCCTCGCCTTCCGCTTTGCCTCTCCTTTTCCGTCTTACTCAATCTTTCTCCTGCTTTCCTAGGTTGTACTGCTGTAGGGAGTTGCATCCAATCCAAACAGCTCGCTGATCACAGGTTCTAGAACATCGTTATCAGGCTAAGATCCATCGTCTCTATTTTCCATCCTTTTTCTGCTCCTCGCAAGCTCATTTTCTTCCTCTTTCTCGCAGGGTGGAGATACCTGAACTGCTATCACGCATGGTTGTTTAGGTTGGGATTCAGATGGTTTAGTTTCAATGGTATCTGTTTCTCGGTTATCCTTGCAATCAGTTGGTTTTTTCACTTCCATTTTCTTTCTCTGCTGGTTGGTTCCTTCACGCAAAAAAGTTATGTAAGCCTTATTAGTGAACTTCTTTGTAACTCCCATCTTTTTTGTCCTTGTGATATGAAAGTCCTTTGTGCTTATTTTATTTGCACCATTGGATTATAATTTTAATGTCTTAAGAGCTCAATTTCTGTTGTTACACTTACAGGGGATGTACCTAGCTTTTCATCATTCCATCCGACCATAACATTCAAACATAGATAAATTTTGTGCAAACATCAGATTGGACAGATTTGTCCTTCATAATTTATTTTCTAAGGCAATTAGTATAGCAAATCAACCATAATAGACCTTACACGACCATGTTATTAACTTAGAAGATGCAGCTTAAAAACTTCCTAACTTACAGAGATTGTGAATTCGTTACTATTTTGCAGTGGTACCACAGTTCTGTTTCTGTATCTTGCGCCCTGTGGATGTGATTATCTTTGGAAGGGCGGATTCATGTCATTTTTCACTTGAGCTCTTATTTTAACTATTCACACTTTGTCTCAACCTGAACTTGGCGTTGTCTATTACTGATTCTTTTGGTCAGCCTTTCACCTCTCAATTGAAGCTGGCACATAAAGATCAGAACAGCATGGTGGAATCTGAACTCTATACAGCCATCTTTCAGGTGAGTTGATGCATCTTTCCTGAAATCTCTATTCGCGTTAACTACTTCGTGTATAATAGGATCGTCGAATTACTTCCCTTTTCTGTTATTTCTTCTGTTTGTTTAATTGTTTTAGGGGTTATTCTTTCAATCTGATTTCCTTTTTGGAAATTTGCAGTTTAGGTCTCATAGGAGACAAAAAGCAGGATCGGTTCATTATCAAAGACATCCTCCTGGCGGCAAGGAATTATGAGAGCTCAGCAAACAAGCTTTTGGTCTCAGAAAATGGTGATCATACATATTTTTCCCAATTCGTTTTGTGCCCGGATGATGGATAATATGCTTGCTGCTGAGTACTTTTCCAATTATTGATAGGCTCTTCAAGAAAAGCTAGAGGTTGTAGTCACATGGACTTGACCAACTTATTGGTATGCACCATTTTTTAATGCTATATATAAATGTATTTGTTTCATCTTATGCTACTGCGTTGCAGAGCTGTGGTCGAACCATCCTGTGATGGCTGAATCGTTCATGTTGTCTTTCATTTTGTTGGAGACCATAGATCTCTGAATTCTAATTTCCCATTCAATGCTCTGAACTAAGTTTTGTTTCCTGCTTTTGTAGCCGTTTCTCCCTGCACATGCTGAACTTCGAATACTAACATTTGAAGTTCATAATAATTTCAACTGAACTCTATACGCTATGTATCAGTCCGAGCTGCATTCTGATTTTTTTTAATTCAAATTAGAAACATCTCAGGTCTTTGTTCCTTAATTTCTACTCTTGGGGGTGAAAGTACCAACCAAGGAGAGCGTTGATGCGACGGATCGCTTGCCACCATTGAGGAAAGGCCAAGTATCAATCACTTGGTTGCCAAAGTATTTTAGAGACCTTCACGATCCTGAAAAAAATGGGGTGCCCCTAACCGAAGAAAGTCTGGAGTTAGAGAAGGAAAGATATGCTCGTGTCTATCTCATAGACATGATAGGAGGAGTGTTCTTCTCCAAAAAAATCGAGCAATTTAATTAGTTGTGGATGGCTTAGGATCATCCTTGGTAGTTGGGATGCGATGGGGGAGTTGAGCTGGGCTTCCGCTTGCCTAGCTAATATCTACCACCATTTATGAAATGCATCTCTCAAAACTGTGAGGGAGGTCAGCGTAGCAATGTTCATCGTCCAATTTTGGGCTTGGGAACATCTGCCATGGATTGCACCGCTCCAATGTCCCGACAGGAATTGAGGTCCCGAACATCCCCTAAGACTCGAAGCTTATGGTTGTAGGTAAATTTCTCATACCCCATCATGATTTTAATAACACAATTTTCCTTATGTTTTAGCTTATTTTAGCTTATTGTATTTTTATTATTGTCTTATTAATAAGGTGGGTTGGAGCCTCAACATGCGACAACCTTGCCCAACACAAGTTGGTAGAGTATCGGAGGAGGCTAGAGCGACTTTGGGAAGGAGAGGTAACTAGAATACTTCTAAGATCCTCGAACTTTTTTTCATGAAGTACGTGTATTTTTCCAATCGGATTTAACTTAAGTTACTAATTTTTTTTTTTTGTAGATAAAATTCGATCCATACCCGGCGAACATCGTTAATTGGCATTTACAGCAGTTCCTCGAGAATATCGGGCAATGGTGCACGAGGGTCCCTCTCATTTGTTTAGGGACCGTGGAGTGGCACCTGCCGGATCGATGCCTTCATCAGTTTGGTCGGGAGCAGTGCATTCCGTCGGAGGTCCCCGAGAGTCGAAGGGCGTTTCACCATCGAGATGGTCGGCAAGGTACTCACGATTGGCCCACGAAGTTGGCTGAATGATCGCGGTATGGTAGAACCGACAACTTCAGGATATTGTCACTCCAACAAGTGTGGGTCGAATGGGGTATCATGACCCATACATGGATAAATATCGGCAAACATCGGTTCGGTACGTGACTCCGGAGGGTGCGGCCGATGGTGCATTAGTAAGTATATTCTGTCTAATAAGATTAAATTTATTGCTTGTTTCATTCTGTCACATCATTAGTCTTATCTTGCTAACCTTTTTATGTGATTTAGGCTGATGGGATCGAGCGGATCAAAGAGTTGACCCATGGGAAACATGAAATGGGACATGAAGATGTGAGCTTCATCAAGAGGATGACAAACAGTCTGCTTGGCTGTATCAGAGCACAGGGTCGTGATCATCGTAGATACCCACCCATGCCAGCACCGGTGCCACCTCCGGTACAAGTTGATGTCCCCCCCCCCCCCTCCCCCAATACGAGAGAAAGAAAAGCAAGAAGGTTCGGGAAAGACCTCATGCGCCCGAGATAAGGTCGTTGGAGACATGGAGAGTGCCGACCCCCTTAGTTGTGGCACACGGTCGCGGTCCGAGCTCACATCAAGATCCCCGCCCGAGCCACTCCCAAGAACCCCGCCCGAGGTTGTCCCAAGATCCCCGCCCGAGCCACTCTCAAGATCCCCATCATGATCCCCGTCCGACCTACCATCATGAGCAATTCTCGAGCTCATACCATGATCCCCGCCCGAGCTACCATCAATCCCCTCCGAACTACCATCAATCCCCATATGATCCCCACCCGATCTCATACCACGATCCCCGCCCACCATACTATGATCCTCGCCCACCATACTATGATCCCCGCCCAAACTTCTTCAACGAACCCCCCACATCCTCGGGTACTTGGCATGATGGTTCCTCCACGACTGCGCATCACGACTTCAATCATATTCCTCGCCCTAATCAGCCGTGGCCTCCTACCCTTCACCGTATGAGCGTCGATGTCCCCCGCTCGACCTCGGAAGCGCCGCATACCACGGATCTACGCCGACACAGCATCGACGAGCGCCCTAGCACGACCCATCGAAGCTTGCGACTGCAACCACCGATGGTCACTCCCGTCGGCCGTCGTACAAGGAGCCCGAAAACCTTGCAGCCCCATGAGTCCCAGGGACTTCCTTGAGATGGATTTTTAGTTTTATCATTTTAAGTGTTGTTTTTAGTTATGTTTTAATTATATGTACTTGAAACCCTTCCCTCCTATTTTAGTTTCTTTAATTGAGTGTTGTTTAGTTTTTATTTTAGTTCTAAGTACTTGGCTTTCTCTATTTTGATCGTGTTCACTTAAGGCTTGAGTGTTAATTGAGGGTTATTTGCCAAACACGAAATTTCCAAGCATCATAGCTCTAACTCCGACAATAATTGAAAACATACATAACAAGTACCAACAAATGAAAACCGCAAACTATGTCGCATTAGTTGAGTCCCCCACATCAGGACCCAGATTTTGTGGACCAATCGGACCTGGACAACTTCGTTTATCATGTCCTGGAACTCTGCATACTGAACATCGTCTTGGGCCTCGTGGTGGTCTTCCACGTTGATCCATTTCGTTCTGAATTTTCTTTTTCCTCGGTCGACCCGGCTCACGCCTCTGTCCGAAAGGCGGGATTATCAACTTTCCTGAGTACACCGGCCAATAAGCTTCATCAGGCAATGCACGAAAACTCCGTCCATAGCAATTTTTGAGTGAGTCGATATTGAAGAATGGACTAACGAAGTGACGGGGGTCTTTGCTCCTGTTTTTAATTACAGCCATTGCATGAGAACATGGCCACCCTCTCCCCTGATACTTCTGGCATGAGCACTCACCAAGTTTTGTCCTGAAATTTACCAAAACTTCCTGGCGATGGCCCCCGCGTCTACCATCCTCACGGTGTCCGGTCGTCACGCTAAACTCGCCAGTTGCCCGTTTCATAACGGTTACACTATGTCGACTACTCTTCCGATTGTCATGCTCCAGTATTTCTGTGACTTTATTGGCATGGACCTTTCCCTGTGCTTCGTTCGTCCTTGCCCAGTGTAGTCGATTGACGAACCATCCATTCGTTTTCCAGAAAGTCATCTCCACAATGGCAGAGATTGGCAGCACCCGAACACCCTTGGAAGCAGAATTGATACTCTCTGATAAGTTCGTTGTGGCCATACCACATCTTGTACCTCTGTCTTTATGAAATGTCCACATGGATAGGTCGTGTCCATCCAGCCACTGTGCCCCTTCAGGGCATAACTCGTGCATCTTCTGCAACTTCTCCTGGAATTTTTTCTCTTGGTATGCAACAGCTGAGGTAATCACAATCAAGTATTACGTTAGTAATAATTTGGCTAATTATTACAATTCGAACAACCAGCAGGTACTCTCGTTAGACTCTTAGGAGAGGTTTACATCTCCTTAGAAACACAACCTGGTTGACAGAAAAAGGGGGGATCCGAGGATCGCTTAAACCCCGATTTTTCTAGGAAATGGGAGGACCATGATAATCGTTTAAAACCCCATTTACTTAGGCATGCATCTCTTTAGAAAGAGTCTAACAAGTGTACCATTTATTTGATATAAGATATTGTTATCAGACAAAATTAAATAACCAATAGAGAGCTTACCAATGCACCACAAATTATCAGCAAGCTTCTTCCGCTTGAAATTATGGTTCCAGTTGCTCTTGAAGTGTCGTATGCACCAACTTTGGGACCAATTCCAGGCTGGATCCAAACCTAAGATGGCAGCTCTAATCCCGACGTGCCGATCAGAGATTATTGTCAGGTTCGTCCTCCTAGTGATGTGGAGCTGAATTTGCCGGAAAAAACATTCATAGCTATCAGTATTCTCTCCCTCAACAATGGCGAAGGCTAACGGAAAGACTTGTTTGTTTGCATCCGCCCCACTAGCAATCAGTAGAGTGTCCTTGTACTTGCCGGTAAGGAATGTACCATCCACTTCGATCATAGGGACACAGAAGCCAAAACCATCAATAGATGGCTTGAATGCCCAAAAAAGTCTTCTGAAATGGCGTTTGTTACATGGCTGGCGGTTGTACCTCTTCATCTTGGTATCGAGGGAGAAAACGGTGTCAGGGTTAGACACCTCCGGTGCCAAAATCAACCTGGGAAGGAATGCATATGATTCTTCCCAATCACCAAATAGGTGACCAGAGCTTTCTAATTTCCATGCCACGCCTTCTTATAGTTAGTCATATAACCATAACGACTTGCAATGTCAGCGATTATGACTTTCACCTTCAGGTCAGGATCTTGCTCAATTAGATGCTTGATAGCCGCAGCAACCACCCTGGATTTCAACTGTCGATGGCCTTGGAATTTTATGGATGACACACATGTGTGTGTGTTCACCGCATGGGATATGACCCAATGGCCGTGTCTCTTGCTGTTGATGGGCCGAATCCTAACATTGCATCCCTCGTTATGATTACGGCATCTGACTATGAGCCTTTTCGTGTTGGAATTAGTTATGTGCCATTCAAAATGCCGATTCATTGCTTCAGTATCAATGGCGTGCCGCACCTCCTTCTTTGAGCCAAATTGTTGGCCCTTCATAAACCCAGTGAGTGGACCCCATATTGGAACCTTCGTGGGTTCCATGTCGCTGTCGATCATCCAATTGTCGTCTGGAATGTGATTGTAGTAGGGGACTGGTACACGGTCATGAGCCACCTCATAATCATTATCTGAGTCTGACTCTGGTCCTGAATCATCAGCACCTTCAAGAGGGTCGGAGCTGTCTGCACTGACGTTGTTCTCTCCTTCTTCATCGTAGGGGTCACTGACTAGTGCTGGCAGGCATCTTCCATCTGATCCAGCTCATGAAAGGCACCTTCATCAGCTCCATAATGGTAGTTGTGAAAACTACCACTG